AGCCAAAACAGAGAAGTTGAATTCTTTTCCACATACCATAAAGTATTTTGTGTTAAACTGTGTTTTCTTTTTGTGCTGATGGTTGTCATTGGCTGGACGCAATCAGAGGTTTGGGAGAGAAGAAGAAGCTAAATGAACGAGTTTTGCAGATAATTAATTTTGAAGATCATTCATATTTTCAACTAATTGTATTAGTACTGTGCTTTTAAATTTTATTGTAACTCGAGAGTAATTTGTTTAAACAGCTTTTATAAATTCTAGGCCGGAAAAATGAAGAAATTTGCTGATGGGAACATCAATATGACAGTTAACTTGTGTGGTTTTTTAAATATGTTCCCAGAAGATTATCACTTAAGCTTGATCTGTGACTTTAAACTGACCGAGCCACTTGCGTCATAAAAATGTAAATGCCAAGAAACAAAAGCAGTGGTTCRAATTACAACAATAACTTTGTTGATATAATATAGTCTAACATTTTTTTTGTCATTTTATTTTCGTTCTATTTCCTGTAATTCATCATTGAAAAAAAAATTAGATTTTCAATCCATGAATGGTTACATAACAGMACCTCTTCAAGGGAAAAAAATATCATTTGGCACACCAGTGAAGCACAGCTGAAAGTGGGGAGAAGAAAAAAAAAGAGACTTGAACAGATGTTTTAATCTCTTGCTGCTTGACTTGCTCAGATGAGTTTGCTTGTGTGGATTCTTATTTTGTCACGGCGGAACCAAAGTTAGAACATCTAATCGTGCTGAATATTTCCTTTGTGAAATCTTTTATCCCCGAGTGCAGATTTTTGAGCTTGTGACGTTCAACTCAGTGCTTTAAAACACTGGAAATGTTAGACCACATSTTCAGGTCTGCACATCTAGCTGTTTTTAAGGACACAAATTAAAAACTATGGTAGCAAAAAGTTTATCTTCCTTTATGTTGAAAGCTATTTTCCTTTTTATAAATAAACCCATAGACTTAGAAAAACAATACAATGATTATTTAAAGTAGATATTCTGTATGCTTGAAAAGTGGATAATTTATTGGTTCATCCAGACTCAACAAAACATCCAACCAAACAACATTTAACCATGTTGTCCCTGAAGGCTGTATACTGTTAGCTTTTTGCATAACTGCTCACAAAGGCCACCTTGATTGCAAATACCCATAATGCTTTGGGGCAAAGAGCAACAATAACACTTACCTCCTAGCAACCAGGTATGAAGCGTGACTTAGATGTTCTTTACAAAATTTTTAATCATTTTCYAATAAGTGTAGCAGGAATTCATCAAGGCTGAGATGGAATACAGAATGTGGAACCATGAAATAGACC